CAAAAAAAATTAAACAATTTTTTTTTTGAAGGTATGAAATAACCCTGGCAACTCACTGGCTATTCACTGGCAATTCACTGGCAATTCACTGGCTRTTCACTGRCYATTCACTGGCTATTCACTGGMTATTYACTGGCTATTCACTGGCAACACACTGGCAACACACTGGCAACACACTGRCAACMCACTGGCAACTCACTGGCTATTCACTGGATATTTACTGGCTATTCAATGGCAACTCACTGGCTATTCACWGGCTATTCACTGGCTATTCACTGGATATTCAATGGATATTCACTGGATATTCACTGGCTATTCACTGGCTGCTCACTGGCTATTCACTGGCAATTTACTGGCTATTCACTGGCTACTCACTGGATATTCACTGGCTATTCACTGGCAATTTACTGGCTATTCACTGGCAACACACTGGATATTCAATGACTATTCACGGGCTATTCACGGGCTATTCACTGGCTATTCACCAATGCTCCGTAAGTTCAGGTGAATAGTTATTAACMTTGATCTGTAACTGAACTATTCATTAATTAGGTWAATATTCAGGTGTATCTATTACAATTCACTGAAGTGRCAGTTCAGTTATTTATCTTGGTAGTATAGGTCAGATAATATCTATATTACAATGAATAATTGTGTATTCCACAACTCATCATGGGAAGACTACACCCTCGTCGAATATAAATGTTTTTTWTAATTCTTACTTGTATCATTCAATCAAAAAAAAAATAATATAATATCTATAACTTTGTTTGAATAAATGTCAACAACSTCCWTTTCTCAAACATCCAAAACTCCAAAAAAAAGAGATAACAAATATGACTCAAGCTTTTGGGATCATTTCACATTAGACCGTGTCGCAGCACTCGCTAAATGCCACTACTGCCCTCATAGCGAGGAGTACGACTCTAACAAGTCTGGCAGATCAACCAGCAACGGGTGGAGACACTTAGATATACGTATGTTACGAACTGTTTGAAAGTTACCAAGATTCATTGTCTAACATCCTGTTCAGATCACCGAAGTGAGACTAAAGGTCTTATTGATTGGGACAATGTTGACAGAGTCATTTGTGAGAAGAATGAAAAGAAGAAGCAGAAGTTATCGAATGCCCAGAATGCAATAGCAACATTCAATCAAACAGACTATGAGTATGTATCAATCGATTGCTAGCATTACCTACTTAATTGTCGACACTGAAACCAACTAACATAACAATTTAATAATAATGAACTCTTTGATAGACATTACCTGATGACTATGATCATTGCTTGCAACCTAGCCTTCTCATTCGTCGAGAAACCCAGCTTCCAAATGTATACTGCCTTGTATACTCCTTTGGCAACGTTGCCATCGCCAGACACGGTCAGA